TTTCTAAACATAACGTCCCAGTGGCTTTTAAACCCCAAAATACATTACGGCAAAGACTGGTTCATCCCAAAGATCCAGTCCCCCGGCACAAACAGAGTAATGTTGTGTATGCTGTTCAGTGTCAGGAGGGTGATCAGTTTTACATCGGGGAAACTAAACAGCCACTGGCCAAAAGGATGGCCCAGCACAGAAGATCAACATCATCAGGCCAGGACTCTGTGGTCTACACTCATCTCCAGGCCAGCGGTCACTCTTTCAAGGATGAAGATGTTCACATCCTGGACAGAGAGGAACGATGGTTTGAGAGAGGAGTAAAGGAGGCCATCTTTGTGAAAAGAAACCGTCCATCATTAAACAGGGGTGGAGGCCTCCGGGTTCAGCTGTCCCCCTCTTACAATGCTGTGATTGCTAGTATCACTCAGCCCTCTGTGAACAGTAAACAGCCATCAGGTGCTAATGATCCATTGTTAGGCTGATGGTCCTTCTTGAGCATGTGATCAGCTGGTTTTGGTTGTCAGCAGCAAAACTGGTTGATCCACTCTGAGAAGGTGCTATTTAAGAGACTGAGCTGAATACAGCTCCTCAGACTGAGGAAGTCTTTCAGATGAAAGACGAAACTTTTCTACAATTTTTTTTCTTGTTTTGCTTTGTTTTGTTTTTTGATTGTCCAGAGGACCAGATTTAACTATTTTAGATTTTTCTACCTGGATTGTTGAGCATGCGTCAGGATACCTAGATAAAGGTTGTTTAAATTTGTTCTTAAGATTTTTTGCACCAAGCTATGTTCACATTCGGATGATGTCGTTTCACGAGCGTTAACAAGTTAGACGTGCAGCCTGCAGCAGATTCAATCTCCGTGAAACAACGTCGACACACAGCTTTGGATTTGTTCTCTTGTCTTTTTAACAAGAAAGCCTCAATGTTCCCAAACAGGAGAAGGCTTTTTCGTTGCCTGCTAGGCTGCTAATGCTACGCATGCTGCAAGATAATAGAGCCATGCTTTAGCACGCTTAGGAACTTTAGTTCTGCGGCGCATAATCTCTCATTAATAAATTTTAATTAGTGACAAAATAACCGAAATGGTACACATGTGGACCGAACCAACCATGCTGTACCGAAACGGTTCAATACACCCACGTGTACTGTTACACCACTAACGGACAGGTTAATTTTTCTGTCTGAATTTTTTATTTATTTTTTTCTTTTTCATGGGTTTCATTAAGAAAAAATTAAACTGGTAGAATTTTTGTTTCTACAGAAACCTAAAACCAAAACTGTTCACCTGCTTAGGAGCCAGTGAAGAGTTAAGCTTCTGTTACCATGGTGAACTTACTGGACTCAAAGATAGTCTTTTTTTTTATACAGAAAACATTGTCTTTCTGTGAATGTAGCAAAATAAATGGTTAGTAGTTCTTCTTTGTACAACTCTCTAAAGCCAAATGAACCCACAGCTATTTGTGTTAAAAGTGATACCAACATGTTACCAGTCCCACCATGTCAGATTCCATTTACAGAAGATGCCACAGAAGCGTACAGTTATGTCAAACTGTTGGACAAGAGAATAAGGGTTTCTATCTTTCTCTTGTGTCTGTTTGTTTCTTTTCAGGCTTACCTGTAAAGACAACTACTTCCTCAGTGATGGTTTATATGTTTGTAAAGAGCAGCTGGAGAACTCCAAACCTCTGAGGCTGAGTGTAGTAAGAGTCAACCCCGTGAAACCACCACAGAGGTCAATTACAGGTACCTGTTTTAACTATACAAGACAGGTGATATGCTAATGGTATTTACTCCCAACAAAGTTCTGTTTAATATATGTAAGTAAAGTATGCTTGTGACTAAAAGTACCCATAGATCCATATCAATACAGCCATTATCTTTGCTCGCTTTTCCTTTCCTGGTCATTGGTGCCCATATCCAGCTGTCAATGTGCGAGAGGAGGGATACACCCTGGACAAGTCGCAAGTTCATCAAAGGGCCACACACCTAAATACAAACCGGATTCCAAAATAGTTGGGACACTAAACAAATTGTGAATAAAAACTGAATGCAATGATGTGGAGATGGCAAATGTCAATATTTTATTCGTAATATAACATAGATGACAGATCAAAAGTTTAATCTGAGTAAATGTAACATTTTAAAGGAAAAATATGTTGATTCAAAATTGTACAGTGTCAACAAATCCCAAAAAAGTTGGGACAAGTAGCAATAAATGGCTGGAAAAAGGAAATTGAGCATATAACGACCAGCTGGAAGACCAATTAACACTAATTAGGTCAATTGACAACATGATTGGGTACAAAAAGAGCTTCTCAGAGTGTCATTGTCTCTCAGAAGCCAAGATGGTAAGAGCATCACCAATTCCACCAGTGTTGCACAGAAAGATTGTGCAGCAATACCAGAATGGTGTTACCCAGTGTAAAATAGCAAAGACTTTTAAATTATCATCATCAACCGTGCATAACATCATCAAAAGATTCAGAGAATCTGGAACAGTCGCTGTGCATAAGGGTCAAGGCCGTAAAACTCAGTTACAGTTTTGCAAAGTTTTTCACAAGATTAGGTTTTAGGATTTGTGCACGACACTGAACACCAGGAATGGTTAAAATGATTTATTAATAAATCGCTGCTGGTGGAGGTCTGGTTCCGGGCACGGATCCAATCTGAAGAGATAGGAGAATTGGTGAACTTGGCTGAACTGTGAAGGTTCAAAGGATAATAATATTGGCAGTCACTAACCTTCAGTCGAGTACAAGAGGTAATCCTTCAGATGGTAGGAGAGATTGACATCATGAACTGTGAGCAGGTTGCAGCAAATTGTGATAATGCAGAGTCCCGTTTCAAGAATTATCCTGGAGCGAAGTCCAGTAATACAGGCTTGGGTCGAGAACCAGCCATCCATCCATTATCTTTACCTGCTTGTTCCATTTTGGGTCACGGGGGTCGCCGGTGCCCATGTCCAGCAATCACTGTGCGAGGGGCGGGGTACACCCTGGATGGGTCGCAAGTCCATCACAGGGCCACATAGAGACAAACGAGACAAACAACCATTCACTCTCTCACTCACACCTAGGGACAATTTAGAGTTACCAATCAGCCTAACATACATGTTTTTGGTCTGTGGGAGGAAACCGGAATACCCGGAGAAAACCCACGCATGCACGGAGAGAACATGCAAACTCCACCCAGAAAGGCCCCTGGACCGGGGTTTGAACCAAGGACCTGCTCGCTGAGAGGCAGCAGCTCTACCAGTTGCGCCACCGTGCTGCCCGGGTCGAGAACCGTAGATCAGAAATCCGAATCCACATTCGAAACATGATCCAAAAAGCATAGTCGTGATAATCATAAACGGAGTTGGTACCGTAGTCAAAAGGCAGAATCCAGAATAGGCAAGGGTCATGCAAGGCGAGCAAAGTAGGAGACAGGCATGTGGTCAAAACAGGAGAGACAGGCAAGGCTATGGCATGGACGCTGGACATCTACTAACACAAATTAATTTGATAATTTGGCAACGAGAGAGTGAGTGACAGGAGCTAAAGTAGTGAGCTGAACAGGTACATGAGATCAGGGCTGATTGAAATAGAGGAACAGAGTGGGTGTGGCGAGAGGTGGCAGGAGCAGAACTGGAGCTTGAAGCAGGGATAAACAAAACATGAAGGCATGAACTAAGCACACAAGGGGGTAGAAACTAAGGCAGGAGGGGGCAGAAACGTGACATAGCCCCACTCTTTAAGGTCCAACTCCCGACAGACCTCCAGGCTGGTCAGGATGGGCTTTGTGAAAGTCCTGGATAAGGGTCTTGTCCAGGATATGACAGGCAGGAACCCAGGACTGTTCCTCAGGACCATAGCCCTCCCAGTCTACTAGGTAGTATAGACCTTGACTCCACCGTCTAGAGCAGAGCAGACTCCTGATAGTGTAGGTTGGGAAATCATTGATCAGTCGGGTAGGAGAAGGGGTCCTGGAGGAGGGTTCAAAACGAGAGGTGTTGGGACAGCTGTGGCTGAGTAGTTAGAGCAGTTGTCCTCCAATGCGAGAGTTGGTGGTTCGAGTCCACCAGCAGTCACATGTTGAACTGTCCCTGGACAAGACACTGAACCCCTCATAGCCTCTGATGTGTGTCCCATTGGTGTATGAATGTGATAAGGCACTGATTAGTCTCTTTAGAATGATTTGTTCAATTAGCTTTGTAGAGATCTAGTAGAGTGCTGTATGTGTGGGTAAATGAGGACTTAGATTGTAGTGTAAAGCGCTTTGAGTATCTTGACATCAGATAGAAAGGCGCTATATAAGTACAGTCCATTTACCATTTTCATCTCAGGGATTGAGCACCCCTCCAGCCCTTGTCTAATTGGTAATTGGACCCCTGAGACACCTGAGTATTGCCCAAACAATACTATGGTCAGGCCCTCAGGCTGGATTCGAGAAAGATTTGACCAGGCACTAACAACCTTCATCTGCAGGACGCACCCCTATTTCACCTCACAGCTCTTAGAGTCAAGTAGCAGTGACCCCAAAGTTTACCATAAGGTATCCTGCATTATGGCTGCTCTTCCTCTATTTGACGTTTCGCAATTGGTACAAGACCTGGTAAATTTCCTACGCCAGGACAAGTTGGCCATATGGGGATGCTGTTCAAAAATCTAACTAAGTAACTGCTCTGGGTGAAGGCAGATACATCCTCCTCTGCTCCGTCCCCCAGCTTCCCTGCTTTGCTGTAGTCTTGTGAAACCTTTATAGAACCTCTTTTTTTTTTTGCATACCTTCCTAAATTGATTGGTTTAATCAGCTGGTCTCTCAACGAAATTGATCAACTTCTCTTGATAGGTAGTTGGGATGAATGGAGGACCCCCTACCTTGATGGAAACAAAATTGGAATTGATGACAAATTGATTCTGCTGTTCAGGTTTTTGAAATCTTGATTGTCTACAAATTTGTGTGGAATGTGTTGAAGCTTGGCAGCACTCAGACTGTGAACTACTGTATGTGGAGCTGCAGCAAAGCTGAAGCAGGCTGATATCAGGACTGTGAACTTTCTGGCAACACCCATGAACAGTTAGAAGGAATAATCTTGGAGAAGCTGTAAGCTCGACTTTCGGCATAAATAATCAATTCGACTGTTTGGAGTGACCATCAGAGAATGTACTAACAAGACTGTAAAGGGCAGAACTGCAAATTACGAGTTCTGCCTGGCCCAAATTGTGGATCTGGCCTTGGAACTGGACTATGTCAATTCCTCCTGGGATGTTATGAAAACAAAGACGCTCTATCTGTCTCCTCACCCCTCTCTTCCCCAAGGCCGTGGCCATGTGACAGAATCTCAACCGAGCTGGAAGATAACAAACACCTTTTATCTGGACAATGGCTGAGGGGGGCTCTGGACTATGCTAGGACCGTCCCTTAAAACTCAATGCCTTCAACAGCCTCATATGTATTATGCCTATTTATGTTGCTTTGCTGTGGTATAATTTTTTGATGCCTCAAACCGTGCCCTGTCTAGGACATGGTTTGAGAGATCTTTTTTTATACCTTCTCTCCATGCTTTCTTCCCCTTTTCTCATAAGCGAAAGTATTCTGAAAAGAACAAGAGGCTGTTCTCCCGTAGCAGCAGCTACGTGTACTCCGCCCATCTTTGGACGACTGTTTTTTTTTCTTTTTCTTTCGGCTGCTCCCTTCTTCATAGGTCGCCACAGCGAACTAAGTTGCATGAAGACTTGGCAGTTATTTTTACGCCGGATGTCCTTCCTGACACAACCACAGACCACCGAGCTACCACAGCTTCTGTGTGGAGCATAGAGCTGCTGTCTAGGACACCCAGAGGAGCAGATGGTGGAGGTTAAGGGCCTTGCTCAAGGGCCCAGAGTGGGACCAATGAGGGTGGGGGCAGGTGTGGGTGCTTCACCTACCCCACCCACATTTTTGATGTTGTCGGTACCGGAGCTTGAACCGGCAATCTTCCGATCGCAGGCCCACCGTCTCTAACCTCTGCGCCACTACTCCCCCAATATCCATGTTATACCAGGGGTGCCCAATACAGCGATCGCGAAGGCAATATCAGTAGTTTGCACGGCGAAATAGATGTCAGATCTTGTTTTATTTATTTTTTTATTTTTTATTTAAATACACGTCAGCCGATCAATCCATCTTCACTATGCAAATCGTCACTTGATTAACATACAGGTTTGCCAATCTGAGACCAATCGTTTCGGACACACGGGGCAGCCAATCAGAGACTGGATCTTTTCTGACGCATAGGTCACAACGCATGCGCATTCAACCGTGCTAAAAACAAACGAGTTGACTCGTAATGGCCTCCAGTTTATATCTCAACTCAAGAAAGTGTGTAAAATGAATTAGGGAGCTGGACCAAGTAAGAAGCAAAAAAATCTACCATTTTCATACAGAATGGGGAGAGGACTTTTTTTTCATGTCATATTCGAAGTATGTTTCACCTGAGCGGCATTTTTGGACTCTATTCATAACAACTATGACACTGACCTTCTGAAAAGTGAGCTGAGAAAGAAAACGGTGAAGGAACTAAAATCACAGTTATCTGGACAGCAGTCATTTTTCTTACAGCTGACCCCAAAAGCAAAGGCAGCTACTGAAGCATCATTTCGGGTGAGTCACTTAATAATTAATTGTTAAGCACAATAAGTCTTTTCAAGACGGAGATGGTAAAAGAGTTATTCGTTGAAGCAGCTGACTCGTTGTTCAGAGACTTTAAAAACAAACCAGAAATATTATCTTTAATCAAAGATCTCCAGGTATCAAGAAATACGGTTACAGTTAAAAGCAGCTGCTGTCAGGGCTGAATTTTCTCTTTTGTTCTCAAGTTCTCAGGTTATTTTTCAAACATGAAGTTATTCTTGTTGTTTTCTGTTCCTTTGTGTGAAGAACAGAAGTTATTACTGGGTTTTGTTTCTAATTTTGTACGCGGACAGTAAAAATAAATGGTCACTTTTTAAAAAAGAAACTTTGGGGTTTTGTCATTTATGTTGCGTCCACAGCGAGCTGGGACTTATTCATTCATTCAGCCTTTATTTATCCAGGTGAGTCTCACTGAGTCACAAGACTCGTTTACAAGAGAGACCTGTTTTAGACAGACAACATACAGTATACAGTACAGACAATAAACTACAGTAAAATGAAATGAAAATAAAAGTAGTGTTACCAAACAACAAATCAAGGTGCCATATAAGACATGGTAAAATACTAAAAACAAGAACATAAAACAAATAAAGCATACTTAATATGTTTATAAATAAGTATATGTTTTGTATTTTTTTAGTAGGTAGATCACTTGGACTTGGTCGTTGTAAAAGTAGCTCGCATGCTTAAAACATGTGGACACCCCTGTGTTAGACTCAAGAATCCCTAAACCAGAATAACCGCTGTAATTCCACTTTAATTAGTGATATGTGAGTTTTCCATGCTGCTGATTTTCCATGCTGCTGATTTCTTGCCTTTAAGCTGCTATATTCATACCCATCTGCTCACAGCAGACTCGTGTCCGGGCTGCTGTTTAATATATTGTATTATTTTACATTGTTATTGTTTAGCATATATCTTAGATCCTTGTATACTGTTTCTTTTTTATATTGTATATGTTTGCTATTTTTGGATGTAATTGGGACCTTGAGTACACAATTTTGTTCTACCTCATGTACCACAAGGTATGTGATGCGAATGACAATAAAGAACCCTGAACCTTGATATGAAATATTTCTGTCTTGTCGTTCATAGGTTTTATTTATACTTGTAGTCTGATCTCAGTCTTTCTGTCTGATGCCTCTTTTCAGGCCTTGACACAGAGAAGGACCCTTATCCAAGTTTATCTAAGAAACCTCGGACAGAGTGGAGTAAAGATGGTGAAGTTCAGCTGCTCCCATCATCTACTGACCCACCGCAGCCAGCAGAGGACAGCAACGGGAAGGAAGAGCAGAGCAACAGTGAGACAGGAGACGGAGAGCATGATGAAGGATCAACCAGTTACATTACTCAAAGACTAGCTTCACTTCTTAGTCAAACAGATGCATACGTCCTGGACATTGACTTGGATTTTTTTTCCTGTAAAAATCCATTTAAGGACATTTACACAGAGGTAACTCTTACACAGAATCAGCTGTTCTAACATTACATGAAAGTTCTTCCAATTGTTCAATTCATCTTTATTCATCTTTATGAGCATCCCTAGTGGGATGTATTCTGGCTTTGTCAAATAGACCTAGTTAATTTAGTCATTTTAAGTTAAGTGCTATTGTCATCACTGCATGTTCCCATGCTATGGTGAAATTAATTCTCTGCACTTAACCCATCACACCTGAGATACACCCAGGTGGAGCAGTGGGCAGCTATGTAAGCACCCAGGGAGCAGTTAGGGATTGGGTGTCTTACTCAGAGACACGTGGGATTGGCTGCAAGTCGAACCGTGACTTTCAGGTCCCAAGTTGGCTGCCCTTCCTCTACCCCATCCTTGAAATAAGATAAGCCTTTGATCCCCCCCTTCACAGTGTTACGACAGCTTTGTTAGCAATTAGGGAACAGTAGAACACATCTATTTACATTGTTACTACAATAAAATAAATGCATAAAAAATAAAATAAGATATACTACAACAAAAATAAAATAGCACAACAATATGGACAATATACAGTAACTGGTAGAAACGTAAGAACTTAAAAGAAGTAAAGATTCTAATAGCTAAAAACATCTTTGGTCAAAAGAAAATAAAATTCTAGGATTATTTTTGCCTCCTGTCCCTGAGAACATTTGGAAGACCAATACCAGTTCATCCATCCATATTGTGAGCTGCATAACTTAAATAAAATGTGATGTGCCAACTTCCATTTTGGCATCTCTGGGCTCTCTGTGAGGAACCAGCTCCCCACAATAGAAGGAGTTTCTAGATATTTAATCTTCAGGAAAAAGTTGCAGGAATTAATTTAATCATTTAGTTTTGTTTTTACAGATGAAAAATATCAACAATAATATTAACTCAATATGTGCTTAAGCTTTGTTGTTGTTTTTTGTGTGTACTTGTTAACTTTTTTAATGATTTTAGGGAAACACTCAGTAAAGTGTATGTGTGTCTATATAAAACGCCTCATGATGGGTCATCTTGAACTGACCTGAGCTCTTTGCTTCTATCCAGGAAGAATATTCTATCCTCAAAGAGCTCTACAACTTCAAAGTCCCCAACCTGAGTGCTGATGAGGTCAGAAAGCTTCACTCTTACATGTACTACTCCACAGAACTGAGTACAACCTTACACCTACACCTTAAATACATGTATATTAATCCGTAGAAGACAAATTTACTCACCGTACATATATTTTACTAATTCGTAAAGCTGAGCAAAGGCATGTCACCTTACATCTACTGGTGTGGATTCTCATCCAGGACCTAGCAAATCAAAAAGGATAATAAAACAACAACTGTGTCCTCATGTATGAACACACATACTGTACCAGGATGTATCCAAATGAATGTGAAAGTTTGAACTTTGTAGCTGCTGTGAGAATGAGCTTGCCTCCACGCAAATTATTTCCAGTCCACAGCATCAAACTACAAAGTTCTGAAACTCTCCTAAATTCATCAAAATGTGACTGGCTGGTTTCCTGAACCCAGTGGGCTTTAAAACACGTGTTCTCATCAGTTGGAGCATGTAACCTGTTTAAATAAAGGTTGAATGGATGTATGGTTTAAATCCAACAATGAAACAACCACATTTAACCTCAGTTGTATTTGATTTATGCTTTTATTTGTGTGTGAGGTTTGAGGATGATTTAATTAAAACCCTCTGTCACTGAATTATTTTGAACCATCACATAAAAATTTAAATGCTGTAAATAATTTTTATGGATTGGAAACTGAATGGAGACTTTATGTTATAAACTGAGTAAGATAGATAATGTACAGTTTGTACATTGAGTTCTGCAGACTGTATTATTATTTAGTCTTGATTGCTGAGCTATAAACAAATATGACCGTAGTAATAAATGCAGATTAATCAGTTTTCAGTCATAAACAGCAGTAGAAGAAAAAAATCCTATTAACTCGTTTAAAAACATTTACACTTGAAATATTCACCCTAAGTATCTCATTAAGTCAGGATGGAAGTTCATCAATAAATAAATGTGTCAGTTTGTTGCTGCTTTGATCTTTAACAAACTTTCATCAAGTCCTGCAGTTTTTCCTCACAACGTTCAGACTCTGCCAGGAAGCCGCTATGATCAGTCAGTAGATTTAACGTTAGCAACAATATACCTCATTTTACATTTATAACATGACAGATGATCACACGTTTAGTTTAACGTGTTTTACAAAGAGAGCATGATACCTGTTCCAGCTGTGGACAGTTTGATGCTACAGCAGCTGTTTTCTCTTCAGACGCTGCAACATGGACGACGTGCTGTTGTGGTTACTCCAGTTCTGTTTGCACTGGAAGCATTGAGCTGTGTTGTCTTTTCTGTTTAGTCTAACATGTTCCCAACTTGGCAGCACGGTGGCGCAACTGGTAGAGCTACTGCCTCTCAGCGAGCAGGTCCCTGGTTCAAACCCCGGTCCGGGGGCCTTTCTGGGTGGAGTTTGCATGTTCTCTCCGTGCATGCATGGGTTTTCTCCGGGTACTCCAGTTTCCTCCCACAGACCAAAAACATGCATGTTAGGCTGATTGGTAACTCTAAATTGTCCCTAGGTGT